CCGCCCCATAGGAAAGCCTTATTCAATGCTTTCCTATGGAAATTCCGGTGATGCTGGAGGTCCTCCTGCATAGTGTGAAGACATCCAGCGTCATTTAAAACACTTTTCGTGTTCTTAGAACCTGGAAGTCCATCTAGTGGCTGTCTGATAGCCACCAGAGGAGGACTTACCCCTGCATGGTAATTATTGCAGTTAATAAAACCTGCAATAATTACACTTGCAGGGTTAAGGGTGGTGGGAGCTGGCACCCAGACCACTCCAGTGGGCAGAAGTGGTCTGGGTGCCTGGAGTGTCCCTTTAAAAACAGTTTGATAACAGGTTGATTATGGGAAATGTACTGGACAATGTTGGAATAAATCCTCCAATAATGTGTTTGCAGCTAGGACCCATAGGGTATAAATATATAGTTACATAGCTGAAAAGAGACTTGCGTCCATCAAGTTCAGCCTTCCTCACATTTGTTTTTTGCTGTTGATCCAAAAGAAGGCAAAAAAACCCAGTTTGAAGCACTTCCAATTTTGCAACAAGCTAGGAAAAAAATTCCTTCTTGACCCCAGAATGGTAGTCAGATTTATCCTTGGATCAAGCAGTTATTACTCTACATACACATCTACTTGTGGTATTCGGTATTTATTTGTAAGTTGTTTTTTTGTTTTTGTTTTTTTAGGGGGGGGGAAAGGGGGAGGGTTTGGGGGGATTTTTACAATTGGCACTCTCTTTACATCACAACTTCAGTTTTTTGACATCCTAAAGTAATTTTTTGCATGCTAAAATCTTTGTAATTTTTGCAGAATGCTAGAAAGTAATCCCGACTTCTTAGTGTGTCACCTCTCTCCAAAAGAGTTCTTTATCAGTGTATTTGCACAGCTCAGTCACTGGGAACTGCACTGCTGGAATCCAAAGATCCTGCGTTGGGACACCAGGCAGGCACATAGTGTCACTAAATGTCTTCAGTGCATGTCTGTTGTGCAGAATTCTGGTTTTGTTCCCAAAATACTACAAAGATTTGAGCATGAAAAATGTGCAGTATATTTATGAGGCTAAAACCTATCAAATGTATTAAAATTGTGTGGGAAACCTTGGCTGTCCATTTTAAAGACTTTTTATACAGGAAAAAAAGTTATGAAATATTTGGGGAGGAAAGAAGTAATATTATATTTATTAGAGGCATAGGGCTTCTTCACAAGTTACATTTAACCCATCACAAGCTGCACATTCGATAAAGTGGTAAGATAGGAAACCAAGGTTCCATTCTAAATAATTAAGTGTTCATGGGACCCCTCTATGCCACTTGTCTCTATTTCACCAGGAAGGAGCTTGAATAGGAAAAGTGTGGATCATCAACACCAATACTTTAGTCACACACTACCTCACATGTTGTGGACTTAGAGGGGCAGTGAGTAGGTTACTGTCATTGATAGATTTTCAAAACCCCTGTTATACTTAATTCCATTTACATCTCTCTCTATTTAATCTTTCCATAACAGCCCATGGTTTGTGGAATAATGCTTGGTTGGCTGATTTGGGTAATTTGACACCAATCCAAATGTAGTTTGGATACATTTTGGAGAGGGTAAATTAGACGCAATAAGGAGGAGTTTATGCTTACATCTGAGTATGGTTACATTTGCCTCCAAATTTCAATGAAGTGCCCAAAATGTGAAACATATGGCAAAAAAACACACTTGGGTTGGTGGTGGTGGTTTTTGTGTTTTTCTCATAGAGATGCATTGTTTCAATACATCTTTACAAGGAGGTGTTGATTGGCCATGCGGGAGTTTGTCCCCACACGTGTGGCAAAGCATTGGATTGGTTAAAAATGATCAATTCTGATGATGTCAGTAAGGAGGGGGCACTGGAAATAAGTTGAGTTTTATTCCATTTTAATGGGGCGAAGGGTGGACTAGCCACCTAAATGGTGATTTTTAACACTTTAGGGTTAGGAATACATGCTTGTGTTCCTGACCAAATAGTGTTCCTTTAATTTGTATCTCAATTTTTCCTCCACTTTCTGGTCTAATTTGTGTTATTAAAATCACCTTATGTTTTTTTCTTATTTTCCTGTTTTTCTAGAGTTCTCATTGAGAGGATGATGGAGTCAAATTATTCAAATATCATTTTACCACCACAAGGAGATTACATTCAACTAAAGGACATTTCTGATTCTAGTTCAGGATGCTGCTAGAACATCGAATGCGTTGTGTAAACAAAGTTACCTCCATGCCTTTAGTAAGCCTGGATACAGCCCCTTGTACATAGCTACATTTGCCGTGAAAATATGCATTGTGTTTTTGGGTATACCATTGAAAATGATGACATTGTTGCTTTTTAATTATTTTTTCCTTATTCATATATATATATATATATATATATATATATATATATATATATATATATATATATATATAAATTTTTTTTTAATTTCCTGCTTTTTTTCTTTTTATTTTAACATTTCCGTTAAATTCTTTTTCCATAATCTCACTTTTTTTGATGGTATTGAGCACTTTATTTTTGTATTCTTCCCTGGAAGTCCTTGGTTCTTAAGAGCTAAATTAAAGCACATTTACCCTCTCTGTGGGCAGCTGGTACTGATGCAAGAAATATTATGCCAGAGAGATTTTGGTCAGGCTGATGATCTAACTAGTGTGAAGACAGAAATTATTAGCTTTGAACTGCTGCAAAAAAGGAAGAACAGTCTAATAATGTAGTGCATGCAGATGCAGTATAATTGCTTTCTTGTTTGGGTTGTCTATATAAGTGAAGCATTCTTGTCTGTCAAATGCCGACACTGTTAATGGTGCTGATTTTCACTGAATCATCGTGTCATATTTTTCTCACTATTACAAATTATTTTCGTTTTTTTTCCAATGCAATATGGCTTCAGGTTATTTTGATAATGTTGCATTATTTTTGGGCTCTCTTCAGATGGGAAGTTGGGGATCATATCACCAGGTGTCCACTGTCCTATGTCTTATTCTATGTTATAATCTAGTATGCATACAAGCAGGTTTCTAATTTACTGATAATATTTGTAAAACTAATCTGTATAAGGTGATCCCACCACTAAAAGGCGATGAGTTTGTCTCGTATGAATAGATATAGACCTGTAATGATAACCTATTTAGTCCAAAATCTCCTGAAACAAAAGATGTATGGAAACGGGAAATAAGCTTTGTGCTTGTAATCTTTTGATATGACACACAAGTTATACTACAGGTAGTTCCCACATAAAGGAAATAATTGTGTGGTCAGGTTAAACAATGAGGAGGACAGTCTGTAGAATTCATTTTTTTATTTTTATTTTTCTTCATGTAGATAAATGTATGGATATCTGGGTATACTTTACTGTGCAAGATACTATAATGAAATGTCTGATGTTCAATAGCTGTTAATTGGTGTGGTCGTCTTACATGCTGTAAGTAAGTTTGATAAAGGGCATTAGGAAGCAAAAACTTGAACAAATGAATGGAAGTTAATTAAGCAGTAAGATATTGAGTTGCCTTCCTTTATTTGAAATGAATCTGTGTTCATTTTCCACCATGGATATTATGATTATGTTGCACTTGTACACCCAACCCTTTTCATGGAAATTGACCTTTGCTTATATGGATTTTTGTTGGTTAGTTTTTAATTAAATTTTTTTCAATTACTCCCTTACTGACACGTCTTTTATATTCTTCTTTCACTCTCCTTGCAGAGTACTTTAAGAGTAAAAAAAAAATGAGTGATACAGCGCTAACTGTAAAGGCACCAAACTCAACCCTTAACTCAACCTTAATTAGAAGATAAAAACAAAGAAAACATATATTGTCTAGCTGGTGAACAGAACTAAATAAATAAAACGTGGTTCAAAACTTACAGAAAACAATTGGGTAAGGAGCAGGGCAAATCACGAAAAAAATTAGTAATAACTTACTGGCGATAGGTCTTTAGACGTGCACTAGAGTCTTGAAGTGGCAGAATATTCAAGGACACAGTCCAATATATTATCCCCAGTCTTGTCTTTCCTCCAAGCTATACATGTTAAGATCCTTTAACCTTTCCTGGTAAGTTTTTTTTTTTTTTTTTATCCTGCAATCCATGAACCAGTTTAGTAGCCCTTCTCTGAACTCTCTCTAAGGTATCAATATCCTTCTGAAGATACGGTCTCCAGTACTGTGTACAATACTCCAAGTGAGGTCTCACCAGTGTTCTGTACAATGGCATGAGCACTTCCCTCTTTCTACTGCTAATACCGCTCCCTATACAACCAAACATTGTGATCGCATTTCCTGCTGCTCTATTACATTGTCTTACTACCTTTTAAGTCATCTGAAATAATTACTCCTAAATCCCTTTCTTAAGATGTTGAGGTTAGGACTCTATCAAATATTCTGTACTCTGCCCTTGGGTTTTTACATCCAAGATGCATTATCTTGCACTTATCCACATTAAATGTCAGTTGCCACAGCTCTGACCATTTTTCAATTTTTTCTAAAGCATTTGCAATTTGGCTTATCACCACTGGAACATCAATCCTGTTGCAAATTTTAATATCATCAGCAAAAAGACATAACTTACCATCAAGACCTTCTGCAATATCACTAAAAAAAATATTAAAGAGAATGGGTCCAGATCCCTGAGGTACTCCACTGGTGACAAGACAATGTTTTGAATATACTTCATTGACTACAACCCTTTGTTGCCCATCATTTAGCCACTGCCTAACCCATTCAACAATATTGGAATCCAAACTTAAAGATTGCAGTTTATTGATAAGCCTCCTATGTGCGTCAGTGTCAAAAGCCTTACTGAAATCTAGGTAAGCAATGTCTACTGCACCACCCTGATCTATAATTTTAGTTACCCAATCAAAAAAATCAATAAGATTAGTTTGGCATGATCTCCCTGAAGTAAACCCATGTTGTCTCTGATCTTGAAATCCATGTGATTTTAGATGTTCAACAATCCTATCCTTTAACATGGTTTCCATCACTTTCCCCACTACTGAAGTAAAGCTTACTGACCTATAGTTGCCCAACTCTATTCTACTTCCTTTCTTGTGAATGGGTACAACATTTGCTAATTTCCAATCTTCTGGGACACACATGCACATATACAGAAAAATCACACAAAGACACAAATACAACCAATTATACTGATGGATAGATACAAACTCTGACCCACAGATCCAAGCAATGACACTCACAGAGATACAGGTACCAACACTCAAACACTGACACATACAGATGCACAGACACTGATACACATGCTGACAAACATGCAGGTTCACAGATACAAACACTGACATCCGTGCAGATACACACACGTACAGTTGCATAGACACACTGATGCACACATGCTGCTACAGATACACATACTGACACATACTGACACACACTGATACACATGCGGATACACAGATCCAAACGCTGACAGACATACAGTTGCACAGACAGACTGATACACACATGAGGATACATAGATACAGACACAGTTACAAACACTGACACACGTGGATATACACACACACACACACAAAATGACACATGTAGATACAGACACACAGGTGCAAACACTGACACACACACACACACACACAGTTGCTAAGACACACTTCCATACATGCAGATGCAAACAATGACACACAGGTGCACATACAGAAACCGATACGCACTGACACACATAAAGATACAGACACACAGATATGATACAGACACACGGACACAATGTCTTGTTAGTTTTGCAGCTAACTAAAAATCCGGGTGGGTGGCGCTGGCGAGGGAGCACTTTCCCCTCAGCTCTCTGCTCGGCTCCCTCACGCGCCGCAGAGTGATGCCGGGAGCCGGAATATGACGTCCAGAGAGCTCACTAATCAGTGGTCCCTCGCCAGCGCCGCCCAGCAGCCACTGGACCCCAGGGAAAGGGAGAACCCTTACCCCCTACCCCCCAGCATTCTCAAAAAAAAGCGTGTGTGTGTGTGTCTGGGAGGCACCTGAATTTTTTTTTTTGTTATGCTTAGGGCAGCACAAAACCAGGATACACCACTGCACAAAGATACAAACAATGACACACATACAAAAATACGAATACACACTGACACACGTAAGATACACACAGGGGTGCACCAAGAGCATTTGGCACTCGGGCGGATCCTGAATTTTGCACCCCCTCCCCCCACCTCATCCACTTTAAAAAACACCAACAATTTTGTTTTTAAAGGACCACTATAGTGCCAGGAAAACATACTCGTTTTCCTGGCACTATAGTGCCCTGAGGGTGCCCCCACCCTCAGGGACCCCCTCCCGCCCAGCTCTGGAAGGGGGAAAGGGGTAATGACTTACCTTTTTCCAGCGCTGGGCGGAGAGCTCTCTGCCTCCTCTCCGCCTCCGATCCGCCCCGCTGGCTGAATGCGCACGCGCGGCAAGAGCTGCGCGCGCATTCAGCCGGTCTCATAGGAAAGCATTTACAATGCTTTCCTATGGACGCTGGCGTGCTCTCACTGTGATTTTTCACAGTGAGAAGCACGCAAGCGCCTCTAGTGGCTGTCAATGAGACAGCCACTAGAGGATTAGGGGGAAGGCTTAACCCATTCATAATTATAGCAGTTTCTCTGAAACTGCTATAATTATGAAAAAATGGGTTAACCCTAGAAGGACCTGGCACCCAGACCACTTCATTAAGCTGAAGTGGTCTGGGTGCCTAGAGTGGTCCTTTAACATGTTCAAGAATATAAACTTTGAAACACAAAACCCCTGCACCTCCTCTTCAAAAAACAAAACAAAAAACCTGCACCCCCTCTCTTACAAAACCCATGTCCAGCCCCCCTTCACAAAACCCCTGCCCCCACTTATACAAAACACCTGTCCCCCCTTTTACAAAACACCTGCCCAGCTCCCTTCTACAAAACTCTTGCACGTCCCCCCTTTTACAAAAACACTGTCCATCCCCTAATACTAAATCTCTGCCCCATCTAAAGCCCTGCCTCGCATCAGAAAAACCCAAGCCCTTCTTCTACAAAACCTCTTCCCCTTCACAAAAATCACAGTACCCCCATTCTTCACAAAAAACCCATGCACCCCCTTCTTCTCAATAAAAATACACCTCCCCTTCTTAAGAAAAAAAAAAAACATGAATCCCCTCTTCTTTACAAAACTCCCTGCCAGTAATGTCCATTAAAAACCCCCCACAAAATTAGCAAGCAGACACTCACAGCTTGCTGTTCTCTGCAGCTGTTGCTGCTCCAGCTTCAGTGCCGCACATAGCAGCAAAGTGGATCCTTTCACTACTGCTCGGAATACCGGGGGATCAGACAGGTGGGGCACGGTGACAGCAATGTGTGGCACCCAGGGCAGATATCCCCCCCCCCCCTATAAGTATGCCACTGCTGACAAACATACAGATACACACACTGACACCTACAGATAGATACACAATGACACATGTACTCATACATCAGGGCTTGATAAATTTGCTTTGAATCTATGAGCCATCTAAAAAAGTTAGGAGCAAGATTTTAAAATAAAATTCTTATAGGGACACTCTAGTCACCAGGACCACTACAGGTTAATGTAGTGGTTCTGGTGGCTATAGCCTGTCGCGTCAGACTATTTAATGTAAACACTGCCTTTTCAGAGAATTCCGGCTCCGGTCTCATTAAGCGGTGCATGGGGGAGCAGAGCAGGGACATCACAGCTCCCTCGCCATCCTCCTTCTATTCGTGCAGCCAGCCAGCCGCCCGCCTAGATGATCACCCAGTGTGCCGCCCACCTCCGTAATCCCCCAGCTTGCCGCATACCGCCCACCTAGGACATATCCCAGACGCCAAGGCAAAATTCCTAGCAACCTGGTGCCTGAAATTTGTCGAGCTCTGAAATACACACACATTGACACATACTGACAGACATATAGATACATACACACACACACACACACAGATACATACAAGCTACAATTTTAGCCACCCTCCTGTTTCTTACCTTGCTGGAGAGTGGCTTCCATGGCTGGGACTGATGGGTGTGAGGGTCTTGTTGCTCTTTCCCCTAGGTTCTGTGTGAGCTGGGAGGAAGGTCCCGCCTCACTCACTTCCTTCCAGCTCTCTGGGCCAGTTAGAAGGGGCATGGTCGCGCTATTAAAGCACATGTCCACCGGGTGGCCCTGAGTGCATGGGCTACCCGATCGACCTGTACCTTTGCGGATCGCAACCCGTGTGGCACCCGGCACCGCCGCCATTGACTTTTTTTTTTTTTTTACCCCCAGGGGCAATGGATTGTACCCTTGAGGGTACGGGAACCCCTGTCTTAAGGCACCGCCATGCTGTGAGGAAATTAGGGAGCAGGGATATGAGGTGATTCATATCCCGCCACCTGCACCCATGCTACGGCATGCTCCAGAGCTGGTAGACAGGATGGAGGTGCTGGCGAAGCTTGGCCACGCTACATGAATTGACCGGCAGGAGAGGAGTGCTGTACTGCCAGAACGACACTCACACAAACACTTTGATTTGCAAAAAAGTAATGATGGTCCAGGCACTCAAGTTCAATCCAGTGGACAGATTTATTGGAGCAAAATAGAAGCAACGTTTCGGTCTGACCAGTAGCACCCTGCGATCCAGGAGAGTGCGGTATCCATATTGGTAAATATACTCGTACAAACACTGACAGACAGATACAC